CGGGCCCCGCGGGGGGGGGAGCTCACCCCAGGCCCTGATTCTGTGCCGGGACCCTGCATCCCCAGCCAGGGCGTTCGCTGGTACCCTGGGGAGGGGTCCCGCAGCGGGAGGGGGCAGCCCCTGGTCACACTGGAGAGGGAAAGGGCAAAGAGCATCCATGAAGTGTGGCTGCTCAGCGTTTGCCTTTTGTGCCACCTGTGAAATCCTGGGTTCTACAGGGAAGCTGGCCCTGGAGGCAGGTCGGCCAGCCTGCCAAGGCAGCCATTGCTGGCGTCTCTGCTCCTTGTCACTGTACCGAGCGGCCAAACCAGGTACCAGCCACAGAAGCAGCCCCCAGTGCCCAAACACCAAGGTGAGACCCATAGGCTCCTGCATGGCTTTCCGCCTCTTCACATCAGCCAAGTTCAAAACAAATTCAGGTCTGTCACTGCCAGATGTGGCTCGCGCTGCGCTGGGGTCAGTGCTGCCCCGTGGCCTGTGTATCCCATTGCACCACCCCTTCCCGGGGCCGTGGTGCATTCAGTCAGGGGAAAAGGCAGTGAGCATGGCCCTGCCAGGGAGTGGGTGATGGGGACAGTGAGGGTGTTTGACAAAAGGGCTGTTTCCAAACCTGCCAAAGCAGCTTTTTCCGCAGAAGTTGAGGTGAGTTGCTCCTTGCTGCAGGGTGTCAAAATGATCTGAAGTTTAGCTGGGTTTGAAACGCAGCTGGAGGAGTGCATGGAAGAGAGAGAATGTCCGCCCACCCTTGTTAAACATTGTGCCAGACAGCTATGCCAAGCCCCAGCAGGGCAGCCACACTCCCAAATGCCTGTGCCAAGCAGTGGTTTTGCCACTGTAGCCCTTTTCCAGGTTGTCTCGGCCAGCAGAAACACGCTAGCAAGGAGGCGAGGGCTTGGGGTTTTGTTTTCTTCTCCTTTTAACCTTTATTTAGAAACTAGAATATTCACCAACTCTACAAGGATTCTCTGTACAGGTCCCACCAGGTGAAGAGCAACACGGAGCTTGTTGTACGCAGCCCTGGCTACCTATACACAGCACTACAGAGAGCGAGAGCTGTCCCCTGCATATAGGATAAATATACAGCTACTACCTGCCATAAATTAGGGATGTGTCATTTTGGAAAGTATTTCTGAACTCGCTCCCATTGGAACGAGGGAGGGGACGGGAAGCAAAGGAGTGTTGTGTGCTGCCTAAACCCAGCAGCAGCAAAAATGCCCTTGGGGACCTGCGCTTGCCCCACCCCAGGAACGCAGTGCTGCTGGGTGCATTGAAAATCAAATTTCACAGTATCACCGCCAGTCCCAGTACCAACGGCCCAAGCCCAGGGCAGCAACGGGGTCTTTATTTTCTGCTTCAAATTTGCAGCATTTGCTGAGAAGTGGCGCAGCTTGGAAGGAGGGTGCCTTTATTTGGCGGCCCAAGCCCAGGGCAGCAACGGGGTCTTTATCTTCTGCTTCAAATTTGCAGCTCGTCTGAGCAGACAAGGGGCATTTGCCGAGAAGTGGTGCAGCTTGAAGGAGGGTGCCTTTATTTGCCTGGTTTATGCCCTTTTTTTGTTTGTTTTCTAACCTGGGGAGCATACGAACTTGGAGTAAATAAAATGGGCCTGTTTCCAAAACATGTTAAGAAAAGGAAAGAAAGAAAAAAAAATAGGCACTGCACAGGGGGACCTTTGAGGTAGTCGAAATTTTTTCCTTTCAATGTCTGGCACCAGCAAGGGGGAGAGAGAGAGAGAGCGCGCGTGTGTGATTGCACATTTCCCTGTGCATGGTCAGGGCCAGGGTGTGGCTGTGCATGTCCACCCGTGTGCAGGGACACCCCAGCGTGCAAGCCCTGGGACATCAGGACGTGCAAGCCCTGCGCCCAGGGACTCTTGCGTGTGCAGAGCCTGTGCCTGGGAGCTGGCACACTGGTGCCCGTGCAGCTGTGTGGCTTTGCACATGCCTGTGGCTTTGCTCACACCTGCAGTTGGTGGCTGGAGAGCATATGTGGCCCCGTGTCTTGGTGTTGGGGGATCTCCATCACGGCAGCTGGCTCGGGGATCCCTGTGACAGCTCCAGCGGCCCTTTCAGCCCAAAGAAAAAAGGGCCATGTCTCATGATACCGCTCCCTGTTGCGCTCCTGGGTCTCATCGTGTAGAATAAACACTGCAATAACCTTGAGAGGAGCAGACATGGTGCGAAACACCAGCCCTCCTTCATCTTGTCCGCTTGGACCCTGCTCCATGTGCTGGGGACCAATGCTCTCCAACCTGTCCCAGAGCATCGGGCCCGCTGCAAAAATGGGGCTGAGCCCAACACAGGCATACATGGGGTCTTTGGGGGCTGTCGTCTCCCTCCAAGGCAACCCCACCAGGGCAGCCCTGCTGCAAGGAGAGGGTCTCCCTGCAGCAAGCCCCAGAGACTTCTGCTCCAGAGCCAGGGTCCCAGGAGTGATGAGCCCCTGGGCAGCTCCTGCCAGGGCCAGCTGGGTTTTTCTGCTGTTTCCTTGGCCGTGGGCAAGGGTAGCTCGCTTCATCCCTTCCCTTTCCTGCCAGGAGGAACAAATCCCTGAGGAATTTCAGCTGGGTGCATTCCTCCAAGTGCACGCACAGGGAGGCCAGCAGAGGGGCTGGGGAGACAAGCACAGTCTGGGCTGGTGCTGGGTGTCACCGTCATCGTCTGGGATCCTCTGTTGGGGACAAAGACCCCAAGCTCTCAACTGCCTGGCTGAAATCTTAATGAGGGCTCGGGGCTGGAGAGGTCCGGCCTCGTAAGAGAGCCCCTTTCCCCAGCTGTGTAGCAGGGACACAGAGAGGACTTTGGCAGGGGTGAATCCAATGCCCACAGGGTCAATGTCACAAAAATGTTGCATGGAGGAGAAATTTGAGATAATAAATAAAATCCCCTTGACTTTTGAGTCGTGGGGGCCTCACACACTTGTAAACCGCTCAACTCCCTTGGAGCGGCTTGCCTGGATAGCCAGACCCTGAAGAGCAAAAAATGCCTGTGCCATATCCCTCCCTGCCTCCCGCACCGCGCCGGTGGAGATGGTACCTAAAGCAGAGCACAAACCCTGCTGCGCTCTCTCTCTCCCCCCATTTGTGCTAGATTTGTTGTGGTGGTGTGTTGTTTTTTTTTTTCCTCCCTTTTTTCAGCAACCCCCAACCCAGCTGGAGAGAAGTGAACCACATTACAGTACAGGAACAAACATGACTGCAAACCCTGCCCCTGAGCCCCAGAGGGAGATGGCCCCAAAAGACTTGTGTGCCACCAGCAGAGGCTCACCCCATCTGGGAGCAGGGATCAGCTGTCGCAGCCCCTACAGTCCCAGCTCTCCAGAGAGACTGAGCTAAAGGATGTGAAGTTTTCTTGAGCACGTCAAGTTACTATGGACCAAGTCCCACATTTGGAGCAATTCTGGAGGCAGCAGTTTATGAACCACCAACATGCTCCGGAAAAAACATGGCTCCTTGTTCATCTTGCTGTTCTTGTTCTTCACAATGCCAAAAGTTTTGAAGCCCTCGTGCCCAACAGGTGATACTTTAAGGACCTCCAAGCACATCCCTAGGAAGACATCGTCGATCGGATACAGCTCCAGCGTCTCCGAGGTCTTGTGCAGCCTCTTGGCCAGGGGCCCATCCATGATGAAGCCCCCACCCCCTGCATAGGGTGGGTAGTTGCTTTTGTTGTAGAGGGCATTGGGGATGTAGTACTTGTTCTCCTTTTTCCGGATCGGCTTGGCCTTGTAGAGGACATCCCCCACAAAGAGGTCCTCTCCCTCCTTCTTGTCCTCCAGGAACTCCAGGATGTTGCTGGGACTCACAAACACATCGTCGTCGCCTTTGAAGATGAAGTGAATATTGTCACAGTAGATGTTCAGCCACTTCAGGAAATGGACCTCTTTGAGGGTGAGATTGAAGAAGCTGTCCAGGAAATCCCACTGCAGGATGTCCCCATAGATGTGGTTTTCATAATCCAGCAGTTTCTGGTAGTTGGCTCTCTCCTCCTCCTTGGAGGCTGTGCCCAGCAAGAACAGCGTCCTGATCCTCTTGCCATCCACCTCCTTCTCCTGGCCCCAGGTTCTCCGGATGGCCTCGCGGCGGTCATGCTGCGTGATAATAGACTTGACCACAATGAGCAGATACACATCCCCATCGCATTTCTCGGGGTGGTTGATCAGCATGGGGAAGTAGCGGCAGTGCCGATAGAGTAGGAACTGCTGGAAGTTGGGCTCCAGTCCTTTGAACCAGTCCACCTTGCTGAAGTTCTGGTTGGCTGAGCAGTTGGTAGTGGTGACGTCCCAGGATTTTGCTTGCTTTGCCGTCATGATCTCCTCCTCCTCCTTCACCGGAGCTCTCTCTTTCTTGCTCTTCCAGAAAGTGCTGGTAATGGAGAACGCATCGTTTCTCTTCTGCATTTTCAGGGGCTCTGGATGGGGCAGCTCTTTCTGCTGCTGGCCCTGCATGAACTGGCTGGGGGCCATTCCCCGTTGCAGCACCGTCACTGTTATCACCAGCAAGAAGGAGAGGCAGACTGTTTTGTAGATGGTCTTCTTCCTAAAGGGACAAGACAGGGGGGTTAAGGAGAAGAAACAGCAGGCTGCGAGAAGCTTGTCTGCAAAAGCACCTCCTGGAGAGGTCACGGGATGCTCATAATCCGTGTCCCATCACCTTTTGACAGGCAGCAGCATTGTGGGAAGAGCTGTGGGGCAGCTCCGGGGCCACGCTCAACCCCAGGGACAGACACAAGGCACGTGGCTGCAGTGTCATCTGTTAACCCCCGGTCTGCGCAAAGAGCTGGGAAGACTTCATGGGAAAGAAGAAAACGGGTCCAGAGAGAGATGAATTCAGGATGAGCGCTTCAGCAAAGCAGCTGTTTCGGAGGAAAGTGCTAAGGGAAACCCCTGTTTCAGCCAGCTGAAAATTGCAGTTTAGGACAAGGGCAGAAGTGAATTATCTTTTCCACAGAAGCGTTAGCTCCAAAGCACAGACGTACTGCCCATGGCCCCAGACTGGCACCACATGTTACACAACACTGAGAAACCAGAGTTGGGAAGACCACGGGAGTCGACACGGAACAGGCATCACCATTCCATTTCAAAATGGCAAATCAGGACAAAAAAATTGTCATTTGAGATGAACTTCAAGGTTCAGTGGGGAAAAGACATCCCTAACTCTGCATCTGCCTTGGAAACCAGCACTGGGGCACTGCTGGGCCTTTTGGCCAGTTCTCGGGACCCATCACTTTGCATTGCAGTGATGAGCGTTAAGGACAGCAGATGCACCACTGGTAATTTGCACCACTGCGGATCTCAGGTTTGGGAGCAGATTTTCCCAGCCTGCAGCAAACCAGACACCTGCATGTCCAGGGTGTGCGGGGGACTGAGGGGATGGAGGGTGGTAGATCAAACCCAGCCCCTTGCGGGGCCATCCCACCCCCGCTGCAGACCCATTGCCCAGGGAAGCTGCTGGCTTGTGGGGGAAACCCTGGAGCTCATAGGGGGCTTGAGAGGGATCCTCCTGCGGCCCGTGGGACAGAGGGAAGGCTGCACCCAGAGAGTACTGATGCACCAAATACCCCCCAACCTGCTCTTCCACACAGCTGAAGGTGGGTTTCTTGCCCTGCTGCCATGGAGGAGAGGAACTGCCTGCTCTGCCCATCTGCACCACGTTGCGGCTGAGCGCCCGGCTCCCCTCCACAGCTGGCACATCTGCACCAATTTCCTCCCCTCCTGCCTCAGTCCTGCTTGCTCCTGCTGCCTCAGGCCATCTTTCCGTGCTCCACGTGGGTCCCGACAGCTTCCTGAGGGCAGCCCCATCTCTGGCTGCTCCCATGCAGAGGGGACACGCGAGGTGCTCGGTGGCCCCCGGAGCCCCTTTCCCTGCCGGTGGGTGAAGGGGACCTCAGCTGGGGAGCTGAAGGAGGCGGATGTGACACCAGTGTCACCGCTCCCCTGTGCCCATCCTCTTGGTGACAGAAGCGCGTCCCAGCCCAGGTGCCACCCATCGGAGACAGCCCCTCAGCCTTCCCCTCCCCGTTAAGAGTCAGAAAGATCCAAGACCATCTCTACCATCTTCCCTTTGGGATGGTCTGGAGAAGGAGCTTGAGGCTGAAATCTGAAATTTTAACCCAAGTAATTTCCAGATAGCAAAAAAAAAAAAAAAAAAAAAAAAAAATACTTTAAACTCTCCTGCCCTGGGGGATGGATTATGATCAGTGCCACTGGGAAGCTGCTGGGGTTTTGGGGCACAGGCTGCACCAAAGCACCTGCTTGTTGGGACACCCCCAATGCCCCTCAGGCTCCCCAGGGCAGGGGACAGAATTGCACTTGGGGACTCCGGCCACCCTGAAATTCAGGAGCCCCAAACGGGAACCAGGGGCACCAGGAGCTTTTGGGAGCTCCTGTCTCCAGCTTCACCCTTAAGTACAAAGAACTTTTCAGCCCCGTGTTTACGTGGGAAAACCATGATCACGTGGGAAAATTGTAATTGCTAGTGTGGACTGTAGACTGTGAGAGCGAGCGTGGAAATAAGTAATTACGGGTAAATGGACAGATATTCCCCATCCGGTTTTATATGCGGCCACTCATCTGCGACTGATGAGGGAGCAGCTCCGATTAGATCTCACCATTCCCTTAACCCTCTCCAGCCCTAGCCGCACAGCTCTGAGGTCCTTCTTAGAAACCCTTTGGTCTGATACAGTGGCAACTTTAAGCCCTGCACAGCCAAGCAGTGTTTTAAACCTCTCATCAATACCTGGCATTGCAGCAGAAATAAACCCGGCCACCCTTATATGGTAACCCCAATTGCACCGATCCCATCCTGACACCCCAGCCTTGCTCCCATCCCATCCCATCCCATCCTTGCACTCCCCACCACCCCAAGGACAACACATGATAACATACCCAGCCTGAAGGATGGCCAGAGGTGCCCCAGATGCCATGGACAGGGAATTACTGATATAATTTAAAAAAAATTTGCATAGGTAGGGCTGTCGCTATCTGGCATGGATGGGTCCACCCTTGGCAGGCTTTTGTGCCAAGACAGGAGCCACATGGAGCTGCTCCCCTCCGTTACCCTCCTTGGGTCACTGCTTTTTATTTCAGCCCAGGCAGAAGACGCTGTCCTGGGGGTGAGGGGAGAGCTCCAGCTTTTAGTAGGAGGTGGAGGGTTGGGTAGCCCAGGTACATCTAGGTATATCGGTGAGGTGTTGCACAACAGCACAGAAACTTAATTCCTCCTTCAGCGGACGCTGTTGCCCAGCTCTCACCAGCGCAACATGCAATTTTTGCTTTGCTACAAAAAACTAATTGGGATTTTTCCTGTAGGTCTGACTCTGCAAACCACAGGGGCACCACTGGGTCCAGCAGGAGCTGGGAGCCCTGCGGCCACCTTCTGCCCTGCAGAAACCCTGTCCCTCCACTGGCAGGAAAGCAATGGAGACTGGGGGGACCCTGAGCCACAACCTCAGGTGATTCCCACATCAAAACAAGGATTTGGGGGGGGCAAAAGAGTGACAGTCATGTGCGTGTCTATTCTGATTTCGAGTCTTTCTGCTCTGTGGTCTCCTCAGCTGGGAAGTACTTTAGGGAGGAGAAACCAGGTGCTGCTCTCTGGAGACTCCAGGAACCACCGCTTTGCAGGAGGCGAGGGCGATGCTTTGGGTTCTCTGCCATCACAGAGAAATCGCCCTGCTGAGCCCCAGCGCCCTGCTCTGGGGCACAACCTCCAGCCTGTCCCCGGCAGCATCCCCAGGAGCCTGGGGCACCCGGCTCTGTGGGGCCTGGGGACCGCAGCAACCCAAGGACTGCAGCAACCCGGGCCCCATCCCGGCTGGAATCCCACTGGCGCCAACCAGGACCGGCTGCCCCAACCACTGGTGTTGGTGCCATCGAGAGAGCTTTGAAAGGGTCCCAACCCGCTCCTCCTCTTCCCTTTTCTCCACCAGGAAAAGCTGAAAGGCTTCCCTGTGAGACGGCCACGCCACCGCCGGCTGTGCGGTTAAACATAACCCCCCAAATTAGAGGTGGGAGCTTTCCCTTTCAGGTGGTGATGCTGTGGGGCAGGCGAGGCCCCAGGAGACTGGGGCTCTCCGTCCCCAGAGAGGCACACAGCCACTTTTGATCCGCATGAAAACCTCTTTAACGGGCCAGGGCTACCTATTTATTTGGATTTTTCTGGCCCCTCAATTAGACCCAGCCACGGAGCCGGAGGAGGCATGGCCAGCATAGAGCCCTTTCTGTTGGGAGTGCCAAGGGCTTGGGAGAGGGGACCTTATGTAGGAGCAGATGCTGGTCAGAAAGCACCCCCATGTCTCCAAAAGGGGCCCGCGCCGGTTGGGTGCAAGCGCCAAGCGGGGCCCCAGCTGACGACGGTTGTCCCCAACCCCGGGTGTCCCCTTCTTACAAAAGCTGTCCGGTTCAAATACAAAGCGGTAAATGCAGAGGCTGGGAAAGCGCCAAGAGGTGAAACCCTGGATGATTCCCCCTCCGTGGGCATCTGCCCCCGGGCTGGCGCTGCCGTGGGACAGGGACCCCACAGCCCCGGCCACGGGAACCAGCCCCCAGGGCAGGGGGGACGCTGCGGTGCCCCGGGATGGGGCGAGGCTTGCGCCAGGAGCGGACACCCCAAAGAGCCTTTCCCGGGGCTCCCCAGCCCGGAGGGACGGGGGAGGACCCCGCCTGGGAGCTCTCTGTAGAGCCGGGGCGGG